CTCACCGCAACCTCCGCCTCCTGGGTTCAGGCAATTCTCCTGCCTCAGCCTCCTGAGTAGCTGGGATTACAGGCACGCGCCACCATGCCCAGCTAATTTTTTGTAGTTTTAGTGGAGACAGGGTTTCACCACGTTGACCAGGATGGTCTCGATCTCTTGACCTCGTGATCCACCCGCCTCGGCCTCCCAAAGTGCTGGGATTACAGGCGTGAGCCACCGCGCCCAGCCGAGGCTCAAATGCTTCTAAGGGATTGATGTAAGATCAAAATTCAAAATTATATATTGGATTTAATAAAGGGAAGAGATTGCTGGTAGCCTTTCCAAGAGAAATTTAGTAGGAACGAGGAAAGAAGCCAGAGAGCAAGTAAAGATTAAGTGAAAGATAGAAAAATGAAAGTGAGGAAGGACAATTCTAAGAGCTTTGGCTCTATAAGGAAAGAGAGAAAGAAGGTGGCAACTAGCTGTAGAGTGATGGTGCTTTATGAATGGAAGAAACGTTTGTTTCTTTCCCACTAAACTGTGAGGACTATCATCATGTGTATCTCATCACCACATTCTTCCCACGTAACTAAATGACCAATACATTTGCTCACTGAGCATTTTCAATAGCAATGGTAATAGAAAGGAGCTAAAAGATGAGGAGAGTTTTAAGACACAAAAGAGAGAAACGATAATCAGTAAAAACCATATCCTGTGAAGGCTATAAAGAATACAATTGGAGAATAGGAGGAGGAATGTGGAGAGAATGTGGAACACCTCCTCCTCCTCCTAACAAGAGGGAAGAAATAAAATGTATAAACACAGATAAAAGTAAACACAGGTAAATATGGGCAAGAAGCTGAGGATATTTACTAACCACAGGGCAAAGTTTCCTAATTGTCTTCTAACGCATGAAATGGTCTTGCACAATGAAGAACAGTACAACACAGAACGACAAAACTATAAGAAATGCTGAAATGAAAAGTTCCTGCATGCTAACTCAAATCACAAAGTTAAAACTCTAGGAGGACTCTCTTCTAACTAGAAAAAATCAGAATAATTTTTCATGGGAGAAGTGGAAATTGCATACTCCAATTTCTGCATTTCTCCGTCAGAAGCTAAATGTTTGCAATATACAGCTATCTATAGCTATACTGCTTTCACCAGAAACATGATTATAATTTACATGTTATGCACATGGAGAGAAGTTCGAGATAAAGATATACAGAGAAAATCATGTTTAACACATCAAACACATACCACTATTAAATGCAATCCAGAGATATGACAGTACATTTTTTAATCACCAAGTTTTTTCCTATGAAAGTCTGAGGCACTGCTGATTCATCAAATACAATGCTCAAATGGTTTCTCACTCTTTCAAATTAATGCTATTTAAAATAAATCAAGCTGGCCAGGCGCAATGGCTCACACCTGTAATCCTAACACTTCAGAAGGCCAAGGCAGGAGAATCACTTCAACCCAGGAGTTTGAGACCATCCTGGGCATTACAGTGAGGCCCTCATCTCTACAAAATAAAAATAATTAGTCAGGTGTGGTGGTGTGAGCCTGTAATCATAGCTACTTAGGCTAAAGAAGGAGGGGTTCTTGAGCCATGTCAAGAGAATCATTTGAGCCTCAGAGTTCAAGGTTTCAGTGAGCTATGATTGCACCACTGCATTCCAGCCTGGGCAACAGAGTGAGGCCCACATCTCTGAAAATAATAACAATATAATCCAGTTGAAAACACTGATTTTTAGCCAGATGCAGTGGTTCCTGCCTGTGATCCCAGCACGCTGGGAGGCTGAGTTGGGCAGATCACCTGAGGTCAGTTCGAGACCAGCCTGGCCAACATGGTGAAACCCTGTCTCTACTAAAAATACAAAAATTAGCTGTGCATGGTAGCAGTCGCCTCTAATCCCAGCTACTCATGAGGCTGAGGCAGGAGAATCGCTTGAACCCAAGAGGTGGAGATTGCAGTGAGCCAAGATGGCATCATTGCACTCTAACCTGGGTGACAAGAGCAAGAGTCCATCTCACAAAATAAAATAGAAATGAAGAAATAAGTAAAAACACTAATTTTTTAAACATATATACATGTATGTATGCATGTGTGTGTATATATATATATATGTATGTATATATATGTCCCAAAAAAGCAATAGTTACAATTTATCTTATACTTTTGACAAAAGGTTTAACTTGAAGACATATACAATAAAAGTTAAAGTAGCTTCTCACCTTGACTACCCCATCAAAGCCGGGGATTGTATTAACCTTTGCTTTCTTCGCTAATAATTTGCTTTCAATCTTGTCACCCATGGCTTGAATAGCATGTGTGTCAGGTCCAATGAAAATGACACCTTCTGCTGCCTGTGGAGAAAAACAAGCCAAAATTTATAACAAGAACATTATGGCGCATGATGTGGAGTCACAATTTTATAAAAAGAAAAACCCATATGTATATTTACTAATCATTTTTATTGCAGAAACAACATGTTTTTGAGCCAACACATTAAAATACTATATTGCATATAGTACATGCAAGGATAGATACATGCAGCAAAGTTGAGTCAAATGAAAACAACCGAAAGCACTGAAAAACTCCTGCTGGATATTAACAGTGTGCTTTGGAAAAGCCACTTTATGATGCTGTATTTGTATATAATGTCCTGCCACCTAATCTAGCCAGTAAGTTCACCTGTAAACACCTTATAAATGCCTGTGTTCTCAATAGCCTGCAGCATAGTGCCTAGTACAACACAAATATCCATATTTACTGAATACCAATTATGCACCAAGCTCTGCGCTAAACATAGGAGACAACATGGATGAAGATAACAGGATATCAACAATTTCCAGGAGATGTGAACAGATCACTGACACCTCAGAGAAATGGATAAAAGAAAGCACAACATGTTTACATCCTTGTGACTACAAAAGATGAGTCAAGAATCCAGTGGGAATTTAACTGGGTAGAGTTATGGTTTCAATAAAAACCACTCTGTACAAACCACACTGAGTACCCTGACAATGGGTCTGCCTCTCTGTTTATGCCACGACAATAAACAAAATGCTAATTACTTAAACAGATCTACAGACAGAACAAAATATGATGTCATTACAGGGCATGGTCTAGAAAAGTAATGGGGGTGTTTGCTGAGATAAAGGATGAGGTCATTACATGAAGAACTAAAGGTAAATATAAAATAGGAAAAAACAGATCTATATGCTGGGCATCCTCGAGGAAGTTGCCTAACTGCTGATTGTCCTACAACTTTGGCAGAGTTACTATAAACAAGAAATCGCATATTTGTATATCGCTTTTACATCACCTGTTCATTCCACATTAGCATTGCTGCCTGCAATGAATGTTGGCTTGGGAAAGGAGGTTGGTTCTCCTGGTGACCAGGGCAGCTAAGTAGCCTGTTGCCTGGACTGCTCTCCTGGCCATCATGACCCAGGAGGATTAAACCCACCCTGAGCAGTAAGTGGAAGTAGAGCAGGGAATAAATGCAAGAAATATACCAGGAGGTAAATATTTAGGGGGTGAGATGATGACTCCAATTTTGCACATGCTGAGCTGAGATGCCTCTGTAATAGTCAATAATTCATGTTCAGGAGGCAGGTATAGAGGTACAAAGGTTATAAGACAAGTCCAGGCTGAAATACAGATTTTTTTTTGGATTTGGAGTCTCGCTATGTCGTCAGGCTGGAGTGCAGTTGCGCAATCTTGGCTCAGTGCAACATTTGCCTCCTGGGTTCTAGCGATTCTCCTGCCTCAACCACCCAAGTAGCTGGGATTACAGGTACGCGTCACCACGCCCAGCTAATTTTTGTATTTTTAGTAGAGACGGGGTTTCACCATGTTGGCCAGGATGGTCTCGATCTCTTGACCCTGTGATCCACCCACCTCAGCCTCCCAAAGTGCTGGGATTACAGGCATGAGCCACCACACCAGGTGAAATACAGAATATTAAAGGCATCAAATATGGGACAGAATTAAAAGTTGTGAATGAAATCATTCAGGGAAAATGAGTAGAAAAGCCAATGCCTTTAAATTCTAGATGCATGCTTCTCTCCTGCCCAAAAGCAACACAAAGGAAAAGGGAAATTTTAGACCCTGAGTCTAAAGCATCCATTTCTTTGAGTGACAGTGTAGGTAATATCTGACTTGTAAATTTGATTAAAGAATTAAATAAAATAACGTACAGGAGGAAAACTGTATTTTCCTTCTACCCTTCTAAGTTTATGGCTGGGGCACCTATTATAAAACACAGATTAATGGGGGAAAAAAGCATACATTTTATTTAATATAAGTTTTACATGACACAGGAGCCTGTATAAGGAAATGCAAATTCAAAGAAACTGTTAAACTTGAATGTTTTTATACAGGGTTGACGAGGACTGGAGAGTTATGGAGAAATGATAGTGTGGAGGGCAAGAGGTACATGTAATAAACTGGGGAGAACTGCTCAGATTCCTCTGTATCGTTTTCTCTTTAGGGATGAGGATGCTCCTCTCTTCTAAATACAGGAAAGGCACCTCTCACATGAACATCTTAGGACCTGCTTCAGGGAAGGTCAGAAAGTTCCTCCTAGGTCTTAGGACTTGCTTCAGGGAAAAGGAGCAGGAGAAGGTCAGAGAGCTTCGTGCTTTTGCTGTTTTGTCCAAATCCTTTAGCTATGTGCCAAGGTGCCAAATGTGGGAGTAGCATGTCCTAAACCCCCATCAATAATAATGTAAAGCACCAAGCTGAGTGCCATAACTGTTAGCTTTTGACAGCACTCCAGAAGGCTCAATAAAGAGGCCACTAGAATGGCCTGGCATGGTGTCTCACACCTATAATCCCAGCACTTTGAGAGGCGAAGGCGGGTGGATCACCTGAGGTCAGCAGTTCAAGACCAGCCTGGCCAACATGGGGAAACCCCATCTCTACTAAAAACACAAAAATTAGCTGGGCATGGTGGCACGTGCCTGTAATCCCAGTTACTCTGGAGGCTGAGGCGGGAGAATTGCTTGAACCTGGGAGGTAGAAGTTACAGTGAACCAAGATTGCACCACTGCACTCCAGCCTGGGTACAACAGAGTGAGACTCTGTGTAAAAAAAAAAAAAAAAAAAAAAAAAAAAAAAAAAAAAAAAAAAAAAAAAAAAAAAAGGACACCAGAATAATAAAACAGCTAGGTCTACAGGACTCTAAATAATATAGAAACACAAATGCCTACAATTTGCTGGTGTTACAAGTGGCAGAATGCTAGATAAGAATGCTTGATGGCAGGATACTTTATAAGCACTTCTTCAGCCATAAGAAGTGCTTATAAAGTATCCCTCCATCAAACATTTGTATCTGGTTTTAGCAGGACCTTATTTTCATGGAAAAAAAATCTTATGCAAATCCACCAAAATGTAAAACACATAGGAAAAAGTGCTGATCTGTATGAAGAGATAACAGTCGTAGGCCTACACTACATGAATCATGTCGGACCAGGACAATAATCATATTCATTTCTCTTTATCCCAAACCTGAAACCCACAAACACCAAGTAAAGGCAAAGGAAACAATCATGCTTCAACCATCAATTGTCTTTCCGTATTCTCATTTTACTTGCAAAGATTGAAAATTTTATTATAAATGCTGCTTTAAAAATGACTATGCCTGGCAGATGTAATCAAGCAATCAGAATACCCATGCAGACAAAGAACTGAAGAAATAACATAAATGAGAACATCCAAAATACATTATGATTACACAGTAAAACTTCTGATTAACAGGAGCCCAACGACCTGCCTGGAACACCAACTAACCAGATTTTTCTTGTGCATTCTAATTTGAAGAAAATTGCTCACCCAAAAAATGCAAAATTGTCCAAAAAAAAAAAAAAAATTAAGGTAGATAAATGGTAGGTATTATTGTGATTATAATAATTATTTTATACTCTTTGTCCAAAAAAAAAAAAAAAGCTTACATCAAGTATTTAGTGATTATTTTTTATCCCACCCAAAACAAAAGAAAAATAGCCAGTAGTATGCTGGAGAACTACTCAAATGTTTCAATGATTTAACTTCCTTTTTATCAACATGTTTTAGAAGTGCTCCCTAGGTTGGCATTTAAAAATAATTAAAGTGAAGTGAGAAAGCAGCATTAGGGACTCTTGGTTCCCATAAATCTGTGACCAAAAAGTAAGGATGAGGTCAGGATAAGAGGGTATGGTAATGGCAAAGTAATGGAGCATGTTTCAAACGTTTTCAATTCTTGACCACGATCAGTGGCTGATTTAGAATAAAAGGCCAGATTTTATCCACTCGCAACCTTCGATGCTCTTCTGTTAACCCTGTATTTTTTGTTATCCATCTAATTATCAGTTTCCCTTAATCACTGTAAGTTTTTTGTCATGCCATAGCAACTAAACTTGTTTCCAAAAATATGCTTTTTAAAGTCCTTTTAAAATTTACCTTGCATGATACATATATTTGAATGCAAATAAATGTCTTATGATCACAAAAAGTGGGCATTTTCATCATTATTGAAATATATTTTTAAAGTGATTCATTAAAAAAATATGTATGAGCCAAGTGTGCCTGTAGTCCCAGGTACCTGGGAGGCTGAGTCAGGAGTATCTCTTGAGCCCAGACACCGTTCAAAGCTATTGTGTGCTACGGTGGCATCTATGAATAGCCACTACACTCCAGCATGGGCAATACAGCAAGATAAAATAAAAGAAAGAAGGACATTATGAAAACCTGAAATCACTGCTCCAAAATTCTACTCATTTCCTAAATTCTGTGATTTTATGGTTCTGGACAAATTTTAATAGAACAATGGGGAAAAAGGTTGGGTTTGAGCAGTATGTTAGGGAAATAAGATTTAATTTACAATAGGCTTTGTGTCAGGAATAAAAGAAAGAATCATCTTCCGTAGAAATTAAAATATATAATACGTATTTCGTTCTTAGAAATACCACGTTAGTAAATTGCTATATTATGAATTCAGATTTTTAAATGTATACATTTTGGGCTCACCAAGAGTTGCTACTTGGATAACTACAAAACCAGGGTCAGAAGAAAAAGACAGCCATTGGGCCAGTCACAGTGGCTCACACCTGTAATCCCAGCACTTTGGGAGGCCAAGGCGGGTGGATCACTTGAGGTAGGGAGTTCAAGACCAGCCTGACCAACATGGAGAAACCCCACCTCTACTAAAAATACAAAATTAGCTGGGCATGGTGGCACATGCCTGTAATCCCAGCTAATCAGGAGAGGCTGAGGCAGGAGAACTGCTTGAACCTGGCAGGTAGAGGTTGTGGTGAGCCGAGATTGCACCACTGCACTCCAGCCTAGGCAACAAGAGCTAAACTCCAACTCAAAAAACAAC